ATATAATATTCTTGCTAAAAAAAGTTAGATTTCTAAGAATGCAAATGGTGCGCGCGAAAGTTTGCATCCGGAACTGCCGGGTGCCATGTCATCATACACGTCGGCGCAGGATGAAGTGGCGCCCGACGTTTGACCTGTGGGACGTGCGGACGTCCAGACGTATTATTTTTTTCGTGCGAAAGAGGTACCCTATAATTAGGGCTGTCAATTTGGCTCGTATTGTTAGACTGGAAATGTAAACGAGCCGAACACAAACAACAGTTTGTTCGCTCGTGTTCGGCTCGAAATTACTAGAAAAAAAAATTATATAACTTTTTCTATAACAATATATTATATATATTATTTATATAATAATATATTATATATATTTATGTCTAAATTTAAATCATAACACCTCATGTGGCAGTATGATTAGTGTCTTTTTTATATTTGATCCAGGTTCGAATCCCACACTTTATATCTATTTTTCTCAATTTAATTTTAACGAGCCAATTTCGAACCGAACACGAGCCGAACACGAACACTAATATTTAAATCGAGTCGAACACGAACACACTATTCACGAGCCGATTTCGAACACAAGATATTTCGAACGAGCCAAACACGAGCCAAGTCTGAGCTCGCTCAAGCTCGGCTCGTTTACAGCCCTACTTATAATATAGAGGCAGCTGCAAACATTTCACTTAATTATAATATATTGATAAATTTAAAATTTTTTATATTTACTCTTATAACTCTCAAAATTCTAAATTACATTAAGAAAATATCACTAATATTAACCTTTGTAAAGTGAAATATACTTTTAAATGCATATGTTTTGTTATAAGTGAGACATTTAAATATTACATAAATAAGCATGCAAATTTAGATAATAAATAGGTAAATGTTTTGTTATTGTATGGCATGCAACAAATAAATACTTTCACAAATATAAATATATATATATATATTCCATACATACCACACAATTCTTATCAATTTACATACCTAATAGCTAAACATAAATTTTTTACATTTATACCGCTCTCTTTATGCATGAAAATATATATTCCATTTTTAAAAGTCAATAATAGATTTTTTTTTCTTTTAATGCCATATGAAAGATTTGAGTGTTATAAATGTAAAAATCAATGTTTAGATATGTTACAAAAATTGTGGTGTGTAATTTGAAGGGTAAGTTTGGGGCAGCTGCAGCTTATTGAATAATATGTTGATTAGCTGATTAAAAATAATCAGCTGATAAGCTAGTTGCGGTGGCTATTATAAATTTTTATTTTTTTTGGAAAAATCAGACGGCTGTCAGAAAATTGCCACCGCATGCCCCCGCACCTAGATAGTTGCGGTGTGAAAATGTTGCTTTCGGCGTTTTGAAAACGCATAAATTGTCAAAACGCAGTTTACCCAAACAGACTAGATACGTTTTCAAAACGCCACTACACCAAATAAGCTACCCCAAATGGACCTGAAGTATTACTGGCTACTTGATGCCAAAAGAACTAATGTCAATAATGCAGAGAAAAATAATGCTTTTTCCCTTCAAAGTTTCACATTTAATTATTCAAAAACAATACATACAAAATAAGTAAAAGAAAAAAAAAAGGAAAATATACATAGAATATATCAACACCTTGTAATAATAAAAAAATGAGGGTTTACAATGCAAAACACAAATATTTCTGAATAAGGCTGGTACTTTCTCAAAAATTGACTCAAACAAGGCTTCATTGAAAGAACTAGGATTAATTAATCTGCTGGCAATTTAATCTCATTTCTTAATCAAGTTTAGCATTAAATTATGAGTAATTATTAGGCTAAGATTGTCTTACACTTTCTGAACTGCAACTACAGTGGTGGACTTGCTGCAACAATGGTTATCAAAACAAGCAGCAGCCTCAGCAGATTTGCTGTAAAAACTGAGCCTGCGTGAATGCAAAAACACATTCAGGGGGGATTTTACATATATACCAAGCAATTCTTATATATTTACATATCCTATGCCTAAAGTTTATATATTTACACTTATAATACTTTGATATCATATCATTAATTTGTACATGAAGAGAAGTTATGCATGTAAATTTGAAAGTTTTGGCGTTTGATACATAAACATATAAGAATTATGTGATATGTATGTAAATGACCCAAATGATAAATAAAAAGAAGATTTACATACATACCGCTGAATTCCAATGTATTTACATATCTACATCAAAACTTCAATTTTTACGTGCATGCACCGTGCTTGAAAGGTTGTATTTCACATTTTCAAATGGTGGTACTTTTTATGAGATGCAACAAATTTGGTTTTATAAATGCTAAAAGTAAAATTAAGGTATTAGATATGTAAATACATATAAATACATAGAAATTGGATGGTGTTTATGTAAATGAAGCCGCAGAAGAAGACAACAAAATGAAGGATGGGAGCGTTATGGTGGTTGGAATGAAATGAAACTAGCTTTGTTTGATATCCACAAGGAGCTGAAACTGAGCAGAATTAACTACTTTCAACTAATAAGAAGATTTACAGACAAGAGTACTGAATTCCTAAGTATTTGCATATCTAACACCTAAAATTAAATTTTTACATAGATACCACCTAACATATGCATGAAAAGGTGTATTTTACTTCTTAAAATTTAAAATGGAGGTATAAATATAAAAAAGCAAAATTTAGATGTTAGATAAGTAATACATAAGAATTGGGTGGTATGTATGTAGCATGAAACTGTTGGCTTCCAATTTTCGGAAGTATAGCAGGTTGGAAGTTTGCTTAGGACTCCATAGTGGAGCTTAGGACACTCTTAGTGGAGCAAAATAATGCAGGGGCATTTTGCAAATTCATATGTATTCAAATATCTACCACCATTTACATGCATACCACTCAAATCATTAACATCACATCAAAAATATATCTATCAATACTTTTCTGAATGTGAAATACATATTTTCATGCACGGGTTTATGACACCAAGGTGTTCAAAATATACATATCAAACTTCAGGGGCGTTAGATATGTAAATAGAAAAGAATTGTTTTGTATGTATGTAAATTTCACACCAATGTATAGGGGCAGTCTCCTAAAGCTGAAAAAATGAATGGTTTGTGGCTATTCTAAGATCAATCTCTGCTTTCTAGAGATTCTATTTTGCCTTGAAAAGTGTGCTGAGGCATTTTGTTTAGACCTGATTGAATATTTAGGGTTTTTCTCTCTCCTCCAACGGTCCAAAATTCAAACGCACTTATGCTAATGATGCTAACATTTACTTTGGAGCTCGTAATTTTCATTAAAATTAAGGGTATTAATGTATCTACTTTAGACTAACAATTTAACTTCATAAAATATATCAGAGAACTCATTTTCAATGAGGTTGCATCAATAAAGCTTAATCTAGTGTTTGAGTCAACGCTGAAAATATAAATATTAAGAGTTTTGTTGACTGTATAATATTTTAATCTTTCTTACATAATGAATGCTTGTATAAGAAGCCTGTTTATTTCTTTATTTTATTTACTTTTAGGGAGCATAATAAAGTAGAGAAATTAGGAGAACAACCCTCACCTTCTGAATGATTAGAATCAACCTTTGGAGAAGACGATGGCGTCGAATTTGTCAAAGAATACCCCAAATTATCGCAATTTGCATCTAACATACCTATAAAAAAAAAAGTTTAAATAACTTAGTCACTGAAGTTTGTTGTCACAAACTTTGAATAAGAAATTTACAACATTACTAAAACTAAATTTCATAATTTTGCATGGATTTAAAGGAGTAAGTAACTGTATACTGTAAATACAGATTCTGAGATATGAAAAATGCAATATTATAAGAAGAAAGAAAAGGAAATAAAAAAACAAAATGCATCAGAACAAATTTTATTTGAATAACACTCAATTCATATGTATTTACATATGAAAAACCAAAGCTTCAATTTTTACATATAAATCACTTTATCTATGCATGAAAAGATGTATTTCGTCCTTTAAAAGTTAAAATAGTGATATTTTTTATGTGATATGAAAGATTTGACTGGTATAAAATGTAAAAAAAGTAAGCTTTGGGGTAAATACCCCTGTTTATTTTTATTTTGGGAAAAAGCTTGGGGATGGTAATTGCTTACATTCTTTAATGCATGGGAAGTTGGAGATATTAAGAAGATTGCTGTAACCCTCTTTGCATTTGCACTTATGATCAAAAGCAGATATCCTCTCACACTCGCCTTCTCCGCAGAAAGACCAGAAGCAGGCTATGAAGAAAATTTATGAAAATAATGCAAAGATTATAATTATTATTATTATTATTTGCAATGATATATTTCAAAAATAATTTAAGATAAATTAGAATGCTTACGATCAAAAATGTTGCCTGCAGTGCTGTTTAGAAATGGGGGCTTGGAGTGATCTAGAGATTCATTGTAGCAAGAGAATTGGTAATCACCTGAAAACAGTTAGTATTTACTCGTGAGAAAAAAAAAACAATAAATCAGCTAAATATCTTCGTAAAGCACTAATTAATGATTTTGTTGGGGATATTTTTGTAATTATTTTACTATTATACAGCTATCATATAGCTGTTTGACTACAATTTTTTTGCAGAATCTACTTATTTTGATATCTAACACCAAAACTTCAATTTTTATATATCACCTTATTTGTGTATAAAAAGTTGCATTTTACATTTAAAAGTTAAAAGTGGTACCTTTGATGTGATATGAAAGATTTGGGTGCTATAAATATAAAAAAGTAAAGTTTAGGGGATAGATATGTAATTATGGAGGAGTTTAGTGCTCTGAATGTAGATGCCCCCCCATTTTTTGTTATTTTTCAAAAATTTCTATGAAAAGAAAGAGCCTTTTACAATTCAAATAAAATTAATAGACTTTTTTAATAGCTATTTTACAGCCATCTCAAATAAGGGAGTTAATAGCTTTTCAAGTTCATAAAATAATAGCAGAAATGCGCTACACAAGTCAAAGATGCGTCAGAAAAATCCAAAGCAGTTGAAAATCATCACCAAATCCAACTATTTCTTCCAAAATCAAATCTTTTTTTAATTAAATCATTTAAATTATATTTTTGTATATAATTTTGATATGGGCAATTACATACATAGCACTCAATTCTTAAGAATTTACGTATCTCACACCAAAACTCCCATATTTACATGCACAACACTCAATTCTTTTGTATCACATCAAAAATATCACTAATTACCACTTTTTAATAGCCAAATCCACATTTTCATGCAAGTAAATATGGAAGTTTAGGTGTGGGATCTGTAAATCCATAAGAATTGCGTGCTAAATATATAAATTTCCCTTTTTTATAAAATAAAGTTAAGGAGAGAACTCACAGTCAGGAATATTGCACGGGAGAAATCTGAAATGGTTGCCAAAATGAAGCTGACTCCATCCGGGTTCGCAGACGCAGACAAAGCCTGCCATATTAGCAGCTGGAGATTTGCAAATTCCCCTCCCACAATCCACATTCCCACAAAGGTCCTCATCAACTACATAAAATCAATAATGTAATATATATATATATTTGCATTAAATGTCGTGAAGTTCATTATTTTGATGGTGAAAGATAATAGAATTAAAAATGCAGCATTAATGATTATTTTATGAACAAGAATAAGTAATTTGTTCTAGTATCAGAATTTCTTGAACACTACTAGTACAAGTAGGCTTATTAATGAGTTTTGAGTATAAGAAAGCCTACTCCTATGAAGAGAATCTCTCTCTCTCTCTCTCATCTACAAATTCATCATACATACCACCAATCACCAATTTCTTATGTATTTACATATATAACACCTAAACTTTGTTTTTTACATTTATACCTCCCACAACTTATATATCACATAAAAAAAACTATCATTTCAACTTTTAAATGGTGAAATACAACTTTTCATGCATGGATTAAGTGGTGTGTTTGTAAAAACTAAAAGTTTGGGTCTTAGATATGTAAATACATAAAAACTAAGTGATATGTACGTAAATCTTCCTACTTTATATAATCTCAAATCTGTAAATGATCACAATTGCATTTCACCAATTTTAATGATGATTACATCATTCATAATGTATGAGAAAAACCCTTCATACAAAAATAATCCAAAGGCAAATAAAAAGAAACGGCATATAAAATTCCAAAGTATTTGAAACTCTATAATTCAAAATTGCAATTATCTTCTCCAATTTCAGAATCATCCATTATGAAAATTTCCATGCATATAGTGGATGAGCAAAATAATCAAAAAAATTCTAGAGTGAAAGGCCATAATATCAAAATTTGATTGGAGGGAAAATGATAATTCTCCTTCTATGAGAAAAAAAAAAGTCATCCATAGATATAAACATGCATGCAAAGAAAATTTTTACATTTCTAACCTCTCATCAAAACATGCAAAAGAAATAAAAATTCGGCTCCAAACAGCATATAAAAGATAGACAGAACTCATATTATAGAAGTTATAGATATCTCAGGAGGAAGCACCTGCAACGATACTTGAAAGAAGAAGAAGAAGAATGGCAGAAACCAAAAATATATAGAGAATGTGTGAGAGAGAGAGAGAGAGAGGGGAGAGAGGGAGAGAGAGAGAGAGAGAGAGAGGAGAGAGAGAGGGAGGGGGAAGGGTATAAAAGTGGAATTTGGAATGAAAAAATAATTTTAATAAATATCAGTAGATTATGAGAGATTAGGTGAGGTAAGCCATGCTTCTTTCGTAAACTTATAAAGCTCTCCTCCTAATCAGCAAGGTTTTCAAGTTTAGGCAGAACCATCCAAACCTTTACAAAACTCTGTTTTTAAGACTTATTTCAAACTGATAAAAAATATATATATATTTCAGTCCCCTGTCAGAATTAATCTGAAATGACCAAAACCGTTGATACCCAATCAAAATCCAACGGTAACTCACTTAAAAACTCATAACATAGAACTTTTTTTTTATGCCTGCTCAAAATAATTTTAGGAAAATCTAAATAAATAAATAAATAATTGTCATCCAAACAAATAAAAAACTTTTGCTATATAATCGCAGCTGTTACTGTAATAGTTTAAATCTCAACGTCTCAAGAGTGTGAACAAACGGTAACCTCTAAACTATTCAAACTATTATTCATCTTCTTCTCGTGATTAACTAATAAGTTGAAAATTCTAATTCAAAGTCATTTATAAAATAAGTAAAATTCAAGTTTAAAAAACAAATTATTTTTAAACCACTTAAATATTTAAAATGCAACTTCGAAATGTAATTAGAAAAAGAGACATGATTAATTGGGTATTTATTAAAAAAATTAATTATCCGTATAATTATTCATCAAGATAAAATATATTTTATTCTAATCTATTTTTGAATTTTTAGTGTTAGTGAAAAGATTTAAAGCTAATTAACTTAATTAAATATTAGTATGCCTCATTTTAGAGGTGCATAATACTAAAGAGAGTTGATATTAGAACATGAATTTAAATAATAAATATGTCATCAAGCTGTCAATAAATGAATATTTTATGAGTTTTTTTTTTCAAAAAAATTAAATAAAGGAATATATTATTATTCAGCTTGGTTTGTTAAAAAGCTTAAAAGGGCGGGCGGCATAATGAGGATTAAGGTTAATATTAAAACTAGAATTAGATTTTCTATAAATATTTAATATTTAAGGTTCTTTACACTGTGAAAGTTCATATAGTAAACATATTTTTTTTAAATCTAACATCATTTGCTAGAAAAATTAGGAGAACTAACCTCACCATCTGCATGATTGGCATCTAACTTTGGTATAGATGATGTGGACTTCGTCAAAGAGATCTGCAGATCAACGTTATTGGCCCCTATGCACAACAACAACAAAATAAAGGATTAGAGACAAGAATGTAATTATACTTCAAATTTGGGATAATTATGCTTAGTCACCATTGAAATAATCTGCAAATTACAAATTTTCGATTGAGAAATGTCTATATAAAAAGATGATGAGAGCTTGTATATTAAAGATAAATTAATAAAACTAGACTTAGGGCCGGTTTGGGGCAGCATTTTGTGTGCGGCGTGTTTTGAAAATGCAAATTTTATTGTTTGGAAAAAACGGCGCGGCAGCTTTCTCGATAAATTTGCGTAAAACGCAGCCGCGGGTTTGTGTAAAATGCAGCCGAGGATTCGACCCCGCGGCCCGCATTTCTTCTCGTGCTTTTTACTCCGGGCACCTCCCTCTCTCGCTTTTTTTCTATCTCTTTCGACCCCGCTCTTACTTGAATTGGTTGTGAATAAGAAAAGATAAAAATATATATTAATCAGAAAGATAGATAAATTTAATTTTTAAATATTAAGAAAAATAAGGTCCACGCAAATTATGAAAATTTGAACAGAAGTTGTACAAATATATTTGCACAAAATATTTTAGAAATCCAATGCAACACTAAAAAGAAAGAAGAATGAGGATTGATTCATGGTAGTGACCACAAATAGTCTGGATAAGGCTAATGTTAATAATAGAATATGTAATAGGAATGCCAATGACATGATCTAGCAATCTGACCTGAAATCAACTTAGAAAATTTCTGATTCAGATTGACCATTACTATCTGAGTTGCCCGTCGTAAATTATAGACCAAATTATTATTCGGGTTATGTTCAAGTTGACCCAAATTACCAAAAAGCAACTCAAAATCGATATGATCACTATTTGTATTTGGGTCACTGTTAATTGGATTAGATAAGTCACATTCGGGCTAATTGGGTGATGTTGATCCTAAAATTGAACGATTTATAAAATTGAACTAGTTCCCAGGATTAAGTTTGAGTCTGTTGAATCCTTTTACGATGTAGGATCTTGTATTGTCCGTGAGTTGATACAATTTGGGAGAAACCTTATGAAAGGAGTAGAAAAGAGCTAAAGATTTTAGAGATTGTGTTGTTATTGATGGTGGTGAGAAAGAAGAGGAGAGAGAGAGCCCTCTTCCTTTCCCACATATTTGTATTTCCTAAAATATACTTGCCCTCATAGGGCTACAAATAATACATAAATGCAATATTATAGGTTGTGCTATACAGAGCCTGTCAAAACTCGTTGCTGATAAGATTCTAAATGTGGACGTCGTGCAATCAATAAATGGGCATGGACAATGATGGAACGAAGTTCCTTCTTCTTGTTGTGAAGGACTGTTGACCGAACTTGATAACGTAGCTTCATGGATGCAGACAAGCTTAGTTGGAGAGCTCGTTGGTTGTGGGCAAGCTCGATAGAAGAGCTCAATGAGCATGGGCAAATTTGATAGGAGAAGTTGGCATGAATAACGAGTATCAATGAGTTTAGTCAGAGGAGCTCGTATAAACACTGACACACTTGATAGAGAAGATCGTCAAGTCCTTCTGAGAGGCAAGTCTGGTAACTATTACCTCCATGGGTATGGCCAACATATATGATCGACCCGGTCAAGGCCAGCGCTTCAAATGTGGGGTGAATGAGCTTGATCCACTAGGCGCAAAGGTAACTATTACCTCCATGGGTATGGCCAACATATACGATCGACCCGGTCAAGGCCAGCGCTTCAAATGTGTGGTGAATGAGCTTGATCCACTAGGCGCAACAGGATGGGAGAATGAGAAGAAAATTGATCACCTCTATGAGTTATTAGAGGAATGAGAGTCGTAGCAAGTGCCATGCCCAGTCAGGTCTCGCCACAATATCTTTTAGAAATTTCTTTAATGAGAAGCAATTTAGATGATGCATTCAAGTGGGTTACAGTTTTTAAATACCTTAGAATCTTCATTTGCACGTTTAAAACCTTCTTAATTTGTCTATCTTGAGCTCCACTTCAAGTTGCAAAAGCTCCAAATAGGCTTAGTACGCAGTATCATCATCACTATAATTTAACCAGTAATTGAATAACTTGTAAAACACTTGGCATACAATTGGATAAGTCAACAAAAATTTATTATCATCAAATAACCAACTTATTTTAAATTGGAAGATTTACATACATACCACTCAATTCCTATGTATTTACATGTCTAACACCTAAACTTCAATTTCTACATACACATACGCATGAAAAGGTGTACAAAGTAAAGTTTACATGTTAGATACGTAGATACATAAGAATTGGCTGATATGTGTGTAAATACCCCTTTTTTTGCTCTCTTGTCCCTAATTTGGAGTTCAAAGCCATTTTTAGTAGGCCTCTCAGCTCTATCATACTTCATTAAGCTGAATTAAAGAAAAAAATGACAAATATACCTAAGAAGATACAGTGCAAACAAATTAATCCTTTTTTGTTGTAAGAAATGATTACTCTGTTGGAGCACTGAGAATGCAATGCAAAGCAGGTACATATTAGTATTATATTCCCCAAAAGTGACTCACGAACTAAAGAAATATACTTACAACAATATTCCTATCGGGCATTTCATCAAACACCTCATCAGCTTCCCTTATGAGCTCCACTGTTGAATGCCCACAAATCATTCTAATCAGTGAAATCACATCAGGAGGATTAAGCATCTCATTAAATAATTCACGTGCTAACTAAATATCTATAAACTTCATCAATTCCACAGCTTCAAATAAAATAGAACTCCATTACCCATCAAGTAAAATATGTTCCATACTGATCAGTGCTAAGTTCACACAAGCTTTCAGCAATGGCGGTAGAGAGTGGAGACTACGAAGAAAGGGGCAATTTAACCAGTAATTGAATAACTTGTAAAACACTTATCATACAATTAGATAAGTCAACAATAAGTCAACAAAAATTTATTATCATCAAATAACCAACTTATTAAAATAGGAAGATTTACATACATACCACTCAATTCCTATGTATTTACATGTCTAACACCTAAACTTCAATTTCTACATACACATACGCATGAAAAGGTGTATAAAGTAAAGTTTACATGTTAGATATGTAGATACATAAGAATTGGCTGATATGTGTGTAAATGCCCCCTTTTTTGCTCTCTTGTCCCTAATTTGGAGTTCAAACCCATTTTTACTAGGCCTATCAGCTCTATCAGACTTCATTAAGCTGAACTAAATGGCATTATTATGACAAATTAACAGATATTAAATAAAAAATGACAAATATACCTAAGAACATAGAGTGCAAACAAATTAATCCTTTTTTGTTGTAAGAAATGATTACTCTGTTGGAGCACTGAGAATGCAATGCAAAGCAGGTACATATTAGTATTATATTCCCCAAAAGTGACTCACGAACTAAAGAAATATACTTACAACAATATTCCTATCGGGCATTTCATCAAACACCTCATCAGCTTCCCTTATGAGCCCCACTTTTGAATGCCCACAAATCACTGTAGTCCGAGTCATCACATCAAGATTAAGCATCTCATCAAATAATTCACGAGCTAACTTAATATCTGCAAACTTCATCAAAAAATTACTCAGCTTGAAATAAAATAAAACTCCATTCTCCATCAAGTAAACAATCTTCCATACTGATCAGTGATAAATTCACACAAGCTTTCAGCAATGGCGGTAGAGAGTAGAGACTACGAAGAAAGGGGTCTTCTTCAAACAAACTGACGAGGAGAGCGGTATAGAGATCTCAGGCAATGTGTGTTTTCAGCGCGCGCATTGATTAAGGTATTTCAAAGAAGATAATTTTAATGAAGACAAAAGAAAAAAAAGCCTCTTTGCAAGATCAAAATCTACTGATAGAGCTGTGGTACAGAAAGAGAGGAGCTTTGAGAAGAAGACGCCGCCATGGATGGCGTTTGATTTGATCCAATGTGTTTGGATGTAGCAAAGTTCGTGATGGAAAACGTAAATATGCTATATGTGCATGGATTTATGACGCAATATGCTATAAACTTAAATATCAAAATTGGGGGGTTAGATATATAAATACATGAGAAATGAGTAGTATGTATTTAAATTTCTTTCGAATCTTTCATATTATATCAAAATTATTATTATTATTATTAAAAAATTAAAATGCACTCTCTCAAATTATGATAAAATTGTTTAAATATAAAAATTAATATTTAAATATGATATGTATGAAAATATATTTTTTTATTTATTTTTATTTTTTTTAGAATAAAATTTAGGACCTCTTAACTAATAGCTTAAGATCAATAGACTAAATATATCATTTTAATGACATTCAATTAAAATTTGGGTGGCTATTGAATTAAACTTTGTGTTAGTGATATTTGTTCTGAATAATTAGATATAAATCATCTGAAATATTGATATTTACAAATCTTAAAAATGACATATATATATACCTTCAAGTTCGTCTCTTTTCTATATTTCTTTAAGGTTCAATGAAGTGGGAAAATAGTATATTTTTAGGGGGCATAGTGAAAATTTCTAATATTTTTTTATTTATTTTATTTCTTAATTTTTCAAGAATTAGAAGCATAGTTTGAAATTTATAAATATGTCCAATTATATGATGCTATATAAATCATGTGTGTCTAATCACATTGTTCTCAATAGCAGCCCACATAAAATGATATTGGGTTGGTTTCCAGCCCAATAAATTGTTGATTTGTTAGCCTTCGATAACTATAGCTCTTATAAACATGATTGTACATGAGAAATTTTTTATTTTTTTTTTCAATAAAATCAAGAGCAACTCCCACATTAGTTATCTTTTAACCAATCTAATTACAAAAAATAACTAAGTAATAAAAATTTTGCGAAAATATTTAAACAATCAAAGATAAAATATTATCACATACAAAAGAGAATATTACGTCCAGTAAATCAGATGTGTGAACGATGACATGGATCGCAGATGTTTTACGGTAAATTAGGTATGTGCACAGTGACATGGATCAATCACAGCATATTGTGAATTTGATGATTTGGTTCAATCACATTGTCGTTCACATATTCATTATGCTATATCATTATCCATAATTCTTTGTTCAGAACAAATATTTTCTTCAAACACCCTTTGTGCAATTAATTTCATGCTCAAAATCTCTCAATCAGACCTTTAAGTTTAGCAAAATTCTTCCATATAGACAACATATGTTTCTGATCTCCATCGTTCATCAGAGCAAATATGTACTTCGGTGGGCCCCATTTTTTATTATTTTTTTAAATAATTACAAAAAATAACTTAGTAATAAAAATTTTGAGAAAATATTTAAACAACGAAAGATAAAATATTATCACATACAAGAGAGAATATTACGTCTAGTAAATCAGATGTGTGAACGACGACATGGATCACAGATGTTTGACGGTAAATAGGGTATGTGGACGGTGACATGGATCACACCATACTGTTCATTTGACGGTCTGATTCAATCACATTGTCGTTCACATATTCGTTATGTTATATCATTATCCATAATTCTTTGTCCAAAATAAATATTTTCTTCAAACACCCTTTGTGCAATTAATTTCATGCTCAAAATCTCTCAATCAGACCTTTAAGTTTAGCAAAATTCTTCCATATAGACAACATATGTTTCTGATCTCCACCGTTCATCAGAGCAAATATGTATTTCGGTGGGCCCCATTTTTTATTATTTTTTAAATAATTACAAAAAATAACTTAGTAATACAAATTTTGAGAAAATATTTAAACAACAAAAAATAAAATATTATCACATATAAGAGAGAATATTAAGTCTAGTAAATCAGATGTGTGAACGGCGACATTGATCGCAGATGTTTGACAGTAAATAGAGTATGTGGACGGTGGCATTGATCACACCATACTGTGCATTTGACGGTCTGGTTCTATCACATTGTCGTTCAAATATTCGTTATGTTACATCATTATCCATAATTCTTTGTCCAGAACTAATATTTTCTTCAAACTCCTTTTGTGCAATTAATTTTATGCTCAAAATCTCTCAATCAGATCTTTAAGCTTAGAAAAATTCTTCCATATAGACAGCATACGCTTATGATTTCCACCGTTCATCAGAGCAAATATGTATTTCAGTGGGCCCCATTTTTAAATTTTTTTAAATAATTACCAAAAATAACTTAATAATAAAAATTTTGAGAAAATTTTTAAACAACAAAAGATAAAATATTATCACATACAAGAGAGAATATTACGTCTAGTAAATCAGATGTGTGAATGACGACATGGATCGCAGATATTTAACGGTAAATAGGGTATGTGGGCGTGACATGGATCACACCATACTGTGCATCTGACGATCTTGTTCAATCACATTGTCAGTTCACATATTCATTATGCTATATCATTATCCATAATTCTTTGTTCAGAACAAATATTTTCTTCAAACACCCTTTGTGCAATTAATTTTATGCTCAAAATCTCCCAATCAGACTTTAAGCTTAGAAAAATTCTTCCATATAGACAACATACGCTTCTGATCTCCACCGTTCATCAGAGCAAATATGTATTTCGGCGGACCCCATTTTTATTTTTTTTAAAATAATTACAAAAAATAACTTAGTAATAAAAATTTTGAGAAAATATTTAAACAACGAAAGATAAAATATTATCACATACAAGAGAGAATATTACGTCTAGTAAATCAGATGTGTGAACGACGACATGAATCGTAGATGTTTGACGGTAAATAGACTGTGTGGACGGTGACATGGATCACACCATACTATGCATTTGACGGTCTGGTTCAATCACATTGTCATTCACATATTCGTTATGCTATATCATTATTCATAATTCTTTGTCTAGAACTAATATTTTCTTCAAACTCCCTTTATGCAATTAATTTTAGGCTCAAAAACTCCCAATCAGACCTTTAAGCTTAGAAAAATTCTTCCATATAGACAGCATACGCTTCTGATCTCCACCGTTTATCAGAGCAAATATGTATTTCGGTGGGGCCCATTTTAAAATTTTTTTTAAAATAATTTTTAAATAATCACAAAAAATAACTTAGTAATAAAAATTTTGAGAAAACATTTAAACAACGAAAGATAAAATATTATCACATACAAGAGAGAATATTACCTCTAGTAAATTAGATGTGTGAAATGCGACATGGATCGCAAATGTTTGACGGTAAATAGGGCATGTGGACGGTGACATGGATCACACAATACTGTGCATCTAACGGTCTGGTTCAATCACATTGTCGTTCACATATTCGTTATGCTATATCATTATCCATAATTTTTTGTCCAGAATTAATATTTCCTTCAAACACCCTTTCTGCAATTAATTTTATGCTCAAAATCTCCTAATCATACATTTAAGCTTAGAAAAATTCTTCCATATAGACAGCATACGCTTATGATTTCCACCGTTCATCAGAGCAAATATGTATTTCAGTGGGCCCCATTTTTAAATTTTTTTAAATAATTACCAAAAATAACTTAATAATAAAAATTTTGAGAAAATTTTTAAACAACAAAAGATAAAATATTATCACATACAAGAGAGAATATTACGTCTAGTAAATCAGATGTGTGAATGACGACATGGATCGCAGATATTTAACGGTAAATAGGGTATGTGGGCGTGACATGGATCACACCATACTGTGCATCTGACGATCTTGTTCAATCACATTGTCATTCACATATTCGTTATGTTATATCATTATCCATAATTATTTGTCCAGAACTAATATTTTCTTCAAACACCCTTTGTGCAATTAATTTTATGCTCAAAATCTCTCAATCAGACCTTTAAGCTTAGAAAAATTCTTCCATAAAGGAAGCATACGCTTCTGATCTCCACTGTTCATCAGAGCAAATATGTATTTTGGTGGGCCCCATTTATTATTATTATTTTTAAATAATTACAAAAAATAACTTAGTAATACAAATTTTGAGAAAATATTTAAACAACGAAAGATAAAATATTATCACATACAAGAGAAAATATTACGTCTAGTAAATCAGATGTGTGAACGACGACATGAATCGTAGATGTTTGACGGTAAATAGACTGTGTGGACGGTGACATGGATCACACCATACTATGCATTTGACGGTCTGGTTCAATCACATTGTCATTCACATATTCGTTATGCTATATCATTATTCATAATTCTTTGTCTAGAACTAATATTTTCTTCAAACTCCCTTTATGCAATTAATTTTAGGCTCAAAAACTCCCAATCAGACCTTTAAGCTTAGAAAAATTCTTCCATATAGACAGCATACACTTCTGATCTCCACCGTTTATCAGAGCAAATATGTATTTCGGTGGGGCCCATTTTAAAATTTTTTTTAAAATAATTTTTAAATAATCACAAAAAATAACTTAGTAATAAAAATTTTGAGAAAACATTTAAACAACGAAAGATAAAATATTATCACATACAAGAGAGAATATTACCTCTAGTAAATTAGATGTGTGAAATGCGACATGGATCGCAAATGTTTGACGGTAAATAGGGCATGTGGACGGTGACATGGATCACACCATACTGTGCATCTAACGGTCTGGTTCAATCACATTGTCGTTCACATATTCGTTATGCTATATCATTATCCATAATTTTTTGTCCAAAATTAATATTTTCTTCAAACAACTTTTCTGTAATTAATTTTATGCTCAAAATCTCCTAACCATACATTTAAGCTTAGAAAAATTCTTCCATAGACAGCACTTCTGATCTCCACTCTGGTTCAATCACATTGTCGTTCACATATTCGTTATGCTATATCATTATCCATAATTTTTTGTCCAGAATTAATATTTCCTTCAAACACCCTTTCTGCAATTAATTTTATGCTCAAAATCTCCTAATCATACATTTAAGCTTAGAAAAATTCTTCCATATAGACAGCACTTCTGTTCTCCATCGTTTGTCAGAGATTTAGGTGGGCCCCTTTCAAATTTTTTTTTAAAATATTGGACGGTTCTCTATGAAATAGTTTTTCCTAAGCTTAACCATTCTTTAAATATTGAGAACAGAAATAGTCGAGCTTTATCTTCTCCCTTTCAAGCATGGAAGCATGCTCGGCTCTATCCCTCTCTTCTCCCAAAACCCACCTCCTCTTCAACCTCTGCAACTCACCTCATTCTTCTTCTTCTTCTTCTAACAGCAAACCCTTCTGCTCTTTCTCCCCAAACCTCCATTCCAATATTCACAAATCTCTCACCTTCTCTTCTTCATCTAAAAACTCTTTCTTTCTCTCTCAACCTCATGCTGTTGCAGACGCCCTAGAAGCAGCTACGGAGACTTCAAATCTTTCACAAGGAGCTTTCTCTAAGATCGACAATGGCGGGCGATTCGGTAGCCCTAGAGCTGCCAGGGAACTCGCTCTGTGAGTTAAATTTCTCATGATTTTTTTGAATATTTTATTTTATATTTTATTTCTGCTTCTGTTACTGTATAATTTGCAAATAAAAAAAGGGATTTTTATAGAGATTATTTGATGTCAGGTTGGTCGCTTATGCCGCTTGCTTAGAAGGCTCTGATCCTGTTCTTCTCTTGGACAAGAGGGTTAATGCAAAGAGAGGTATTTAGCATTTTGTTTTCTTTTTGTTCTAATTAGTTGGAAATTTCTGCAGTTTTATTTGATTTGGTTGTATTTGCTGTGTAATATTGGGATGTTTGGATACAAAGTAGGATTTAGTAAATCTTGTAAATCCAGATTTTGCAAGCTTGTTAGGAGCTAAATTGGCTGAATTCTTATAAACTATTTTGCATATGTTTTCAAGATTTAAGATTTAATTTAAGGAGAAGAAGAGGTATAGTTAGGAGAGGGCATGGTATATATCTCTTCATGTCTACTTCTCCATGGATTTGCTGAATTTAGGATTTAAGTCTAAGATGGAAGGAAAATTGGATTTAAGAAAGTAGTAAGGTTTCTGTGAGTCAAAAAAAAAGGAAGATATACATGCACATCATTCCATTCTTATGTATTTACATATCTAATACTTAAACTTCAATTTTTACATACATGCTACATTGCCTGTGCATCAAAAGGTGCATTTCACTTCTTATAAGTTAAAATGGTGGTATTTTTGTGTGATATGAAAGATTTTGCTGGTATTAATGTAAAAAAAAGTGATGCTTAGGTGTTAGATATGTAAATGCATAGGAATTGGGTGGTATAAACTTTTTTACAAGATTTAGCCTAATTCATGCTTATATTTTGCAACAAAACAACCCCTAATTTTATTTTTGTTTTCCATATTTGTGTGTTTTATTGATTTGAGGTTCTTATATTGTGATTAATGTGAGGTTTCAGTGCCGGGTTATATCTTCGACAAGGCCTCTCTGTTGCAGTATGATCACATGAGCTTTGGTGGGGAACCTGTTCAAGTGGAAACTGAAGAAGAGGCTGAGGAGCTTAGGCAAAAGAATGAAAAGGATTCAATAATTGGTATTTTTCTCCTTTTTTTTTCATACATGTGAATGATTTCCTTAGCTTTATGTTTGTTTTTAATCTTTATTATTTACCCATATAAGCTTTGAAATACATGTTTCCATAAAATTGGAGGGTATATTACATCATTTTATATGAAAAACCCCAACAATGTTTTTGGTTCATCATGATTTTAAATTAAAAATTCTATTGACATATTATTTGTGTTTGAGTAGATAAAAATAAATAGAAAAAAAGAGTAATATTTTTTAGCTTGTTGAAGAATTTGATTTCATTTATGTTTAATTGAATACTTATTCATTTATTTTTTTAACAGTCACAGTTAAGTGGGAGTTTATTATGGCATTAAAGATCACATTAAAGACATTGACATCAACTGCCAAGCCCTTACTCCTCATCTATGTCGACTTGTAAAGAAAAAAAAAGTTTATAATTGAGGCATCTACTTCGTCGCTTCCATCTTTTGCTTGTTACTCAATGAGCAACACCCATATTTAGTGGTGTAAATGAGTCGAGTAGAGCTCGAACCGAGCTCGAGCCACCATCGGCTTGAGCTTGATTAAATAATCAAGTTAGGGCTTAAATCTACGAGTTCAAGCTGGCTTTTTTATTATGAAAGAAAAACAATATTATATCAAGCTAGTATTATAATAAATTGGTAACTAGAATGAGTAATTATGAGATAAATGATAAGAAAACAATTGATATAAAATGAAATTTTTTATTTTTTTAAATAATTTTAATAATTTAAAGATAAAATCTTGAGCTTTGATATATTTCGAGCATATATATATAAATTTAAATGAGTTGTTTCATGATCTAATGAGTCAAGTCGGTGTTGGCTTGTGCTTGGCCTGTTATCTCATTGAGTCCGGCTCATGAGCCACTGATCATGCCAGGTTTGAGCCGGCTCATGAGTCTGCTTGGCTTGGTTACGCACCTGCCCATGCTACAACTCCTTTCCCACTTCCTCCTCTACAAAAGTTCCAAAATAAATTATTTAAATGTAAAACTTGAACTACAAAGGAGTTATTCAACATTAAAAAGCTTTCACAATTACAACTATAGATTCAATAATAGAGCTATCAAAACCTAAAGATGCATTAACATTTCAAGTGATTTAACTTCCACATAAGACATCAAAACCAAAAGACACACCTTCAATATATTTCTTACCTTAGAAACTCTATTCATTGCCCATCGTAGTGTCCGATCTTTGCAGTATGTCCCATCGTATTTTTGACATGACATGGAAAATTTGGTTGTTATAAATTTACAAAGTAAAGTTTATTTGTTTATTATGTAAATACATAGGAATTGGCCGGTGGTTATGTAAATGCTCCAGTTTTTTTAATTCGAGTTCTGACAACCAGATTCTCTTCTTCCAGAAGCAGAAGTTCTTTCAGCGCCGCCAAAGCTGGTCTACAATAAGTTTGTTCTTAGGTATTCTGTTACTTTGCTGGTCATTTGATTTTTATTTTTAGTTTTTATTATTTTTTTTACAATCATCCGATTTCTATACATTTTCAACAAGAAAGTGTTCGCTTATTCAAATCTAATAAGCAATGCACAAAGAAACACACCAAAGATCAAATTTGTAATTCTTCAAATATTCGGCAAAATATATATATTTTTTCAATGTAAAATTAGAAAACAATGATCATTAATTTGGAGTTTACGAAAATCTATCACTTTACACAAAATCTGAAAATCAACCAAGATCACGATCAGCTTTTGTTATTAGTTGTCAAGAATTGCGACATGATCGAAGAACTTACATCATATATGCAAATTTAAATTAAGGAAGCAAAACACAGGAGCACATTTTGTTCTTATAGGCATCATTATGATGTGTGCTTCAAGAACTAAAGGAAAAAAGGAAGGAGAAAGTTTTACATACAGACCATTGAATTCTTATGTATTTACATATCAAACATCTTAACTTTAATTTTTACATATATGATCGAGGAACTTACATCCAACAACATACAAATTTATATCAATGAATCAAAACACGAGAACACATTCCTTTCCATAGTTATCATTATCATATGCGTGCTTCAAGAACTAAAGAAAAAGAAGGAAGATTTACATACATGCCATTGAATTCCTATGTACTAAACTTCAATTTTTACAGACAAGATCGAAGAATTTACATCCAATAACATATATATATATATAAATTTAAAACAAGAAATCAAAACACGAGAACACATTTCATTCTATAGGTATCATTATAATATGTGTGATTCAAGAAGTAATGAAAAAAAAAGGAAGATTTGCATACATACCACTGAATTTCTTTTGTATTGACCAAAGAGCTCATAATCCTCCAATAACATCGATTGATTTATCCCAATTGTCTTATTCATGTCACTATATATATATATATATATATATATATATAATCGAAGAATTTACATCCAACAACATACATACAAATTTGAATTAAGGAATCAAAACACGAGAACACATTCCATTCTCATATGCGTGCTTCAAGAACTAAAGAAAAAATAGAAGATTTATATATATAAGATATGCCTCGAAACCAAAATCAATGAACAAATCATGACGAAACGACAATAGATAGATGGAAAAATGCAAACAAGGGTTGCTCTTACAAAAATCAAAGAAAACAAGCAAGATACAAAGTTGATCTACTTTTCGAGAGGTAGATTGTCTCTCTCACACCCTTGACGTCGCTAGGAACACCACACGAAGAAAGAAAACCGCAACCAATCAAAAAAACGCATAAAAGAAAACAAACCATAGGTTCCCCCTTAAGAAAATCTTAATACGGCATTTGGAAACTTTCCTTCTAAACTTCTCTCAAAAATCCCCTCAATTTCTCCTCATTGAGTATGTGATTATGGCCCTAGATGGCTCACCTGCTCCTTTCCTCCCTTTGCTGCTACATGGGGTCGCTCGGTTGTTTCCTGCGAAGAAGATCGGCTTGTTTGTGGAGGGGGCAGGCCGATTAAGAGCTTTCGACCGGTCCCTTTTGGACCGGTAGAGATACGGGCGTAAAAACATACCATTGAATTCCTATTATATTTAATAGAAGGAAGCATGCTTGGGCGCATATCTTACCTTCATGCTCATCTCCTCTGCTCCTCTCCTCTCTAGTATTCAGCTGCTTGCGCCTGAAATAAATCTAGGACTCAATTGTTCCCGCATGTAATTTTATATTAGCTTTTACCCTCCTGTAAATTTACTTCTCTGCCCTCAGCTTATTTACAGTTATGCTATGTAAATAAGTATATTAAGGGCAACTCTGTATAAGTTATGTATTAGGGAAAATCAATAATAAATATAACACTTAGCTTTTCTCCTTACTTAACCTCTTCTTTTTTTCCTTCAACCTCTCTTCATTTGTTTTTATTGTATCAGAGCCATTTTGCTTAACCGCAAAAATGGAGTCAAGTTCCTCCACATCCATGCAAGCAATTCATCAATTTACCACTTCCCTCCACAAAATAAGTGAAATCAATATACCCGCATCTCTCAAATTCCTCATCTCCTCTCAAGAACGTTGCCAACACTCCCCTCACCCATTAAGATTATCAGGTACGGAAAATTCAAATCCAGAAATTCTCCTCTGCGAACGGCTTTGATTCTTTATTAGACATCACAAGCCAAACACCACCAAGATTTATTCAAAATGAGCAAGGGCATCTATAGAAAGTCAAGAATATCTTTTTTGGCAACTTATAGACCCAAATTTGGCAGCAACAATTTTCTCTTCAATTTCATCCTCCATTCTTCATATATTCTCCACTTAAATTGCACAGCCGGAATATGGGATTTCTTGGAAAAACGATTTCAATCCACTAATAGATCCAGAGTAATTCGGCTCAAGAATGAGCTTCACAATATTCACATAGGAGCAAACAATATGACACAATACCTTACAGTCATAAAGACTCTTCTAGACAACATTGCTGTTGCAGGGTTTAAAATTGACAATGAAGACATTTACCACTCGAATATCAAAGGCTTCAAGACAACTATTAAAAGTCAACCAAACACCATCAGGTTGGAAGACTTTTATTCCCTCTACATAGTGAGGAATGTTATCTTGCAAACGAAACTGCCAAAATGAATCAACAATCTGCCCTCTTCACTTATAAAAGCGAAGGGGGGCCTCAAAATCAAAGAAAATTCATTAAGAGCCCTTCTAGTAACAATTACCAACCTAACAACAGCACAGTCAAAAGTAAAAGGACTAATATTTGTCAAATATGTAACAAGAAGGGAAACTCAACATATAATTGCTGGCATAGACTCAATATCCAGTAAAAAGCATCTCCACCATCCCAAACTACTTCTCTCACTAGTCAAGTTCAAGCTCGACCCATTGATTGGATCATGGACACCGTAGCCACAGTTCATCTCAACTCACACATGGAAAATCTCCACCAACCTGCAGTCTATGCAAAGCTCGGAACATGTCACCATAGGTAATGGGCAACAAAATGAAATAACAAATGTGGGTAACGGCATTCTTCCCACCCCTGGCATTAAGCTCAAATTATCATCACTTTTTATGTACAACATTTAGCTCACAATCTTTTTTCAATTCACCAGCTAACTAAAGATAATAACTGCAAGTCAATTTTAGTGCTAACAATTTTTATGTGCAGGACCTTGCAACAAAGAAAGTTATTCTTGTCGGAGCTGTTGATCAAGGGCTATGCCCCATCATAGCTCTCACTTCACTCGAGAGCTCAAGCACATGGCATCGCAGATTGGGTCATTCCACAAAATTGTGCTTACCATGATCTCTTAGTCCAACCCCCGTCTTCATATTTCATCCTCTATTTCCCCAAGTACTGATTGTCTTCAAAATAGAAGCCACAAATTACCTTTTTAATGTAGGAAAACTACTTACATTGCTTGTGAAATTATTATTTCAGATGTTTGGGGCCCTTTTCCTCATCTATCAACTGAAGGATACAACTTTTTATGTCACTTTTATGATGTTTTTTCTCGTTACTATTGGTGCATGCCCATGCGACATAAATCTAAAACCACTACATGCTTTATTTCCTTGCATAAAATGTTAAAAAACCATTTCAATGCCAATATAAAAAATTCATGTACCGATGGCAGCCGTGAATATATGTCACATGAGCTCAAGCACCATCTCGAAGATCAAGGTTTCATGCACCAATTTTGTTGCCCTAACACAACCGAACAAAATGATATAACTGAAAGGAAAAACCACCACATTGTAGAAACCGCTAGAACTCTCATCAACACAACCCACCTTTCCATCCACTTTTGGATGGATGCCATATAAACAACAATTTATCTCATAAAATGTCTTCCCTCAATTCACACCATGGTCCCCCTATTACTTCTGGATCTATGCTTCTACATGCCTTTGTAGATGCAGACTGGGCCAGCAACTCTACAGATAGCAAATCCATTTCAGGATATTGTTTCTATCTTGGACCCAAACTTATCTAGCGGTCAACTAAGAAGCGGACAACTATAGCAAGATCGTCCACAGAAGCCGAGTATCGGGTTCCACCACAGAAATAATCTGGCTACGCTGACTACTTCAAGAGCTAACCAACACTCCGATGTCCCCAACCCCTCTCTATAGCGACGATACCTCAACTATAGCTCTCACACATAATCTAGTGTTCCACACACGAATCAAGTATGTCGAAGTCGACTATCACTTCATCTGGGATCACATTAGACTACAACAATTTCAACTACATATTATGACAGAAGACCAAATTGCCGACATCCTTACTACAGCTCTACCAATGAAACGCCATCAAATGCTCACCACCGAGCTTACCGTCACTACATCTGACCCTCATCTTGAAGCGGGTTAATAGAAGGAACACATCTTTGAGCTTACATGGTCGCAGATCTTTCCTTCGTGCTCCTCCTCCGCTCCTCTCCTCTCCGGTGTCCGACTGCTTGCGACTGAAATAAAGCTAGGGCTCATTTGTTCCCGCATTTAATTTTATATTAGCTTTTACCCTCCTATAAATTGCTTCTTAGCCCTCAGCTTATTTACACTTATGTAAGGCAGCTCTATATAAGTTATGTATTAGGGAAAATCAATAATAAATATAGAACTTAGCTTTTCTCCTGACTTATCCTCTGCTTTCTTTCCTCTTCTTCAACCTCTCTTCATTTGTCTATAGTATTTACATATCAAACATCTAAACTTCAATTTTACATACATGCTTGAAAAATTTACATCCAACAATTTACATAAAAATTTGAATCAAAGAATCAAAACACGGGAACACATTCTGTTGTCATTGGCATCATTATCATATGCATGCTTCAAGTACTAAAGAAAAAAAAGAAGACTTATATAGATTCCACTTAATTCCTATGTATTTGCATATCAAACATCAAAACTTTAAATTTTTACACACATACCACTTTACCTATGCTTGAAAAGGTGTATTTCACTTTTAAAAAGTTAAAATGGTGGTATTTTAATCTGATATGAAATGTTTAGCTGATACTAATGTAAAAAGCAAAGTTTAGGTGGTAGATTAAGTGGTTTGTATGTAAATGCCCTGACAATGTATTATTAATATAGCATCAATGCCTGTATTTTGTATATTTAACTTGTATATTTTTTCAGATTTACATCACACATGTTTTCTTAGCTATATTTCTGTGAAAAAAAAAGAAAAAAGCCATTATTTATGCTCAGCCTTATGGATTTCATAATTTATGCAATTTGGTATTTACAGATTGGCCAGAGATCTCTTGGTAGCAGTCGTGAATCAGTGGAATGAGCATGTCCTTATCATTGAGAAAATAATCCCCCAGAATTGGAAGGTATTCCCCACATTTAATTTACTTAACTTTCTGACTTAAAAAAGTTAATAATTTGTTTAAATTTAAAAATTCAGGATGAACCTTCTGCTAGAATCTTGGAACTTTGCATTTTGCATCTTGCAATGGCAGAGATCACAGCTTTAGGAACGCGGCATCAGATCGTCATCAATGAGGTCAACAATCCTTCCCTTAAATTGGATTATATACATGAAGATTTACATACATGTCACTCGATTTCTTCATATTTACATCACCTAAACTTCATTTTTTACATATGTGCTACTTTACTAATATATGATAGGTGTCTCACTTTTTAAAAGTTAAAACGGTAGTATTTTTTGCGTGATATGAAAGATTTATGTGGTAATGTTGAATCCAGAAGTTTCTGGAAAACACACTCAATGATTAGAACGTTCTGCTAGGAAGTGATTAGAGAGAGAGAGAGCACGGTAAAGAACAGTAAAAAGCATGTCATTTATTCATGACTTGGACCCTTATTTATAGGAATAGATCCCGGCATTATAAAAGTACATATTAGTCCCCACATCATTAACTTTTCAGGGGGACTTTTTTGGTAATTACCGAGCATAATAAGACCGGAGTTTATTCAATCGATGAAACTTGTCGATCATTTGGTAAGTCTTGATTCGGTCGATATCTAGTATTGAAAGAGTGCTCCCTGTCGATCGTCCTGATGGTTGATTGTCGCCGTACATGAGCTTCTCCTGGCGTCTTTCATCGATTGTTCGAACAATATGCTTTTCTTGCCAATATTCAGCCAACAAACGTTGTCAAAGGCTATGTTCGATTTGTGACATCTTTTTTTTTAGCCGTTCATTTGTCTTTAGATTCGTGCTGACATATTTTTATATGTTTAGGTATAAATGTAAATAATAAAGTTTAGGTGTTAGATATATAAATAAATAGAAATTGAGTGGTATTTGTATGTAAACACTCCTAAAATATGGTTTTAGAAATACAATATTTTTTTGGTTGGAAGGAAATTGGCAATATTGAAAAATTTCTCTTGTATGAGAGTTGTTTGGTGATCATGGTTGGGTGAGTGTATTGGTGTTTTCAAGTTTTTTTAGGGACATTTACATACATATCACACAACTCTTATTTATCTACATATTTAACATATAAACTTTACTATTTACATTCATAAAACTCAAATCTCCAGCTTCACATCAAAAATATCACTTTTACTAACTTTTAAAAACTCAAATGCACATTCTTACATGTAGGTTCATAGCACCAAAATGTTATGCATATAAACATCAAACTTTATATGTTTAAATGTTGATTCATAAAAATTGTGCGGTTCATATGTAAATTTCCCAATATTATTTTGTATTTTTTTATAAATAAATATAAAAAAGTTGAAATATTTGGTAATCGAATAGAACATACAGACGGCCAAACAGCCGGCTTTAATACGATGTGTGAAATCCGTACATGCGGATTGATGATATTTTATCATAATATCGCTAAAATAACATCAAATTACATCTATCTTATCTGCACGTAATATTTTTTTTTCTTAAATACTCCATTTTGTTCAATCCATGCAGGCTGTTGATCTGACAAAGAGATTCTGTGATGGATCTGCTCCCCGAATAGTAAACGGTTGTCTGCGGACTTTCATCAAACATCATAACAGCAGAATTTCTACTGTATAACATTATCTGTTAAGGCTCAAAAGAATAGTTACTGATAAATATTTCTTATTATTTTCAATTCAAATTTTATCATTCATTGAAGTGCAATTTACATGAATCAAAATAATATTTTGATCTTCTTGTGAAAGGAAAAAAAATGGAATAATTACATATATACCGCCAAATTTCTATGTATTTGCAGATGTAACACATATCTATGCCTGAAAAGGTGCATTTTACTTTCTCGAAAGTTAAAGTAGTGGTACTTTTGATGTGGTATGGAAGACATGGTTGATGTAAATGTAAAATAGGTGGTATAAATGTAAAAAAAATGAAATTTATGTGTTGGATATGTAAATATATAGGAATTGCTTGGTATGTATGTAAATGCACCAAGAGAAACATGAAGCTTATGTAATGCTGCATTACTGAAAAGAAATATGCATAAAAAGAAAAGCAATGTCTTGCTTCCTTAAAAGATGAAATAAATTGGTATCATATTATCATGATGTAACTATCACATTATGTTGATGATCCAATATATATATCTATATCTATCTATCTATATATCTATATATATATATATATATGTATTGTTATTTTTATTTTGCTATTTTTTTTATTTTTCTACTTTTATTTTGATAGAAAGTGAATATGTTTTTAACAAAGAAAAAAAAAGTTTATTACCTCATCATTGAATAAACTCTCTACCATAATCACTTATGTTTAATCTTAATTTGAGATGTTTAACTTAAACTTAATTTTAATTAACCTAATCAAAGTTTGTTTCATTAACTCTGTTAGATTTGTGACATTGAGAGTTTTGATATGGTACAATTCACTCGGTCGAAAACTGTCATCAAATTTCATTGTCAAACCAGCTTCTATAGCCCCAAGCAAGCTGAACTAGTTAAATTTAGGATTCGTTTGTGGTGGTGGTGTGGTGGTAGCGCAATGCTGCACTACAATTTTATCAGTTTGGGTTAACTATGTTTTGAGAGTTTTTTTTTAAAAGTTGTTGTTGAAACGCGTTTTCTCACCACTCATGACTAGGTGCGTTGACAGGTTTTTAGCCCGCGACCTGATTTAAAAAAAAAAAAATTTATAATGACCACCGTAACTTTTTGAACATCAAATTATTATTCAACAGCTTTACAACTATTTTTTAATAAGTTGCAGCCGCCCCAAACATACCCTTAGCCAAGTTGGGCTAGCATAAGACATAATTATTTGAAAAATTTTCAAATTAAAGGAGAGATTATGGCTCACTAAGGTTCAAATTGGCAAGGTTATGTCTAATTTGGGTTCAACCTAGGTAAAATTGAATTCAAGCTAACTTAGAAAGAGTCCCTAGGCTCTTGAATGCACTATGCTCAAATAATAGTCAACAATGGTAACATATTTAGGTCAATTGGGTCATCATATGACACAATTTGTCATATCTTGTAAACTAGGATGGTCTAAAAAAGGTCATTAGCTAACCATGGATCTACAGATTGATCGTAAGATAAGTTCATCGAGTTGGTAACTAACTAGCTAATCCAAAGCCCCATTCACTTATAGCCAATTAGCTAAACACTGATACAAGTTTATGAAAAGGGCAATTTTGGAGTTAAACATGCCTACGGTTGACTCAGGGTGCATTTGGGACAACAGTGTGACAATGCACCCCATTTTTTATGTTTGACAAAATCACATTTTTTTCTGTTCTTTTAAAAAGCTGTGGTGAAAATCTACATTTTTTAACTTGAACTGACCAAGTGCGGTGGTTATTGAAAAGTTACGTCTAGACTTTTGGGGAAAAAGAATTGTAATAAGTACAATTTCTTTTTGAAAATCAGCTTCTTCTACGGCAGCTTCATAGCTGCCTTTTCAAATAGTCAATTAGTTCGAGTAATAAATATAAAGGTAAATTTACATAAATAACACAATTCTTATGTATTTACCTCTCACACCAAAATATTGATACATATGCATACCATTTTACCAATGCACGAAAATGTGGATTCAAGTCTTGAAGTAAATATGAAGATTTGAGTGTGAGAAATGTAAATAAAGAAGAATTGCGTGTTGTAATTATAATAAGTACATAGAGGTTCAGTTTTTCTCAACAAAGTCAGGATGGCCGAGTGCCCATTTACATTTCTATATATATATATGTTTATTTTTTTATATATATATGTTTATTTTTTTATATATATATGTCATCTCATGTATGGGAATTAAATTTCACATTTTGAAAATTTAAATAATAATTTTTTTGATGTGATATAAAAATTTTGGGTTGCACAAATATAATTTAAAATTTAAATGTTAGTTATGGAAATTGATCGAAATAAAATGATACGCATGTGAACACTGCAATAATCATCGCAAAATAACACCAATAACATCACAATAACACATGTAAACAGCGCCGATAGCACCGCCTGAAGAATCACGGAAATAACATTGCAGTGTTATTGAGATATTATTGGCGTCTTTTTGTCAGATAAATGTGGCAAGATTCCGCATGTAATATTTTTTCGTTGGAAGGGCTTATCTTGTGATACTTTTGCTATCAAAAATTTTTCTAAATGGAGGTGAAGTTCTAGATGAAGGTGAAGCTCTAATCTATATAACTCTAAACAAGAAACTATAGATAACCTAACCTAAATTTGGAAGTAACGCACCCGATCAATATGCCCATGATTTTTCATTATCCTAGGTACATTGGTTGCCTCGGACTATTAATAAAAAATAACACATGTTCTCCCTTGTCGACATAGCAATAAGTTAAGATAGTCATTTTCGCTATAAAAGTGAATGTGAGTATCTTCGTCCATAGCATAAGCTACTTCATTGTAAGACACTCATGGTCTTCGGGGGTAGGTCAATTTGTTTTATAGGTCATAGTCTTTAGTTCTAATTCTATGGGGGAACCTAGAACTAACTTAGAGCTTCTTGACTAGACTAATCTAGTGTATGTGTATGAACCTAGGTTTTCTTTTGTGTTCGCTACCTTAGGGGCATAGTTTGGAACTATCCTAAGGTGTGGTTTACAAAAATTAGAGTTGGTCGAGTTTAATTGTTTGTGCGATTTGATAATTAATAATGATTTATTTTCTCATAGAAATCTTAAGTCATGATGATAAATCAAGGTTTTCTAGGTGTTGTTTGGTTATTTTTCCATTCTAAGTGAAGTTTTAGTCAATTTGTCAATCAAATATTATTTTTTCATCCTATGTTTCAGCTTTCTTCCTACAATTTTGTGCTCCATCCCCAGGTTCTAATTTTGGTCGAGAGATAGTTATAAACAAATGAAGCGAAGCTTCTTAATTTAAATTCTCATACCAAGGACCTATTTGTATTCACATTAAAGTAGTAAAAGTATTTTTTTCATGCAAAAGTGTTAGATTTTTCTAAAAATAGTTTTATCAATCAAAAATATTTGGGAATATAAGTTTATCTTTCTCATGAGTTATTTAAATCAGGATAAGTCAAGACTTATAAACTCAGGAGTCTGAGGCTATGAAATTATATGTTTATAAAGACAAATGTATTCATTCATGCAGTCACTCAATCTAAGTGAATATATAACTCTTGTCTATATTAAGCAAATGAAAGAAGCCCGACAAGCTTATATTTTATTTTAGATTCCTAAAGCAAAAGGTTTTGAAAAGATTATTTAAAAGGAAGGAATTTGATTTTTAAGAAAAAAATGAATTGTTTTAAAAGATTTAATTAGTTTTGGTTGATCATTTAATCTTTTATAAAGTAAGTATTTAAAAGAAGAAATTTTGCGAAGAGAATTCATTTTAAGACTTTTCATAAGACTTTTTAAGAGAAAAAAAATAAGTTTTTTGAAATAGATTTTTTCTTCTTAAATAAAATTATTTTAAACTCTTAAAGAAAGGATTTCCAAAGAGAATAAGTTCTTATGAGAGATCTATCAAAAGGAAAAATCGAATTTTTTACTTTTAAACGAGTTTTCTATAAGAATTTCTATAAAAGAGGGTCTTAAAAAAGACGAATTTTGAAGAAGATTGAAATTCTTTCTCCTCGAACATCTCTAAGACTTTAAAAGATTAGAGCTCATTTAGTTGAAGTATTTTAATTGGTGTAGAAAATCATTTTAATTAGTTTGAACATTTCCCTTTATCCTATCTATTCCAAGAGAAGTAGTAAATATACATGTTGGCACTCCCACATGCAAGGAAAGACATGCAATCACTCATTCACATGCAAAGCATGCAATTTATCATAGCTTTATAGAGGTTTCAATAGTTTCATCTGTTTTACACATACAAGTAAATTCATATTGTATCACATTGATGAAAAGTAAATGCACTCCTATTTAAAACAACCTAAATATGAGATTATCATTTGAGTGATTCATAGTGCTTTTCTTAAGTTACTTAGATGCATAATTTATACAAATTTAACATATATGTGTTGATATATACATATTTATGACAACGACGGCTCAATTTCAAGGAACGCCGACAGAGAGTAAACGAGAAGAGGTGTCCTAGCACCAAGATCATTGAATTTCTTGAGACGTTGAAACTGCGATCCATTGTGTATTTGTGGACAGGATGCGTGCTTGGCATCATCTGCTGTTACCATGGCGGATGCGGCTCTCAGGCTCGCCGCCTTGGCTATTATGGGGATTTGTCCTGACAAGAACTTATCTTTAATGTTTTGAAAATGGATTGCTACTTTATTTATTTGTTTGGCTTAAAATTAGACTGAAAAAGCCAATATTGATATGTGATCATTCTTTTGTTGGTTCAAAATCCATCAATCGTTTACAATTGCATGGTTATGTGAACAAAATCATGATGTTGTAGCATTAAAATCATCTTGTATGTTGCTTCTTACATTTTTAATTTCATGGTGGAAGCTGCAATTTGGTTTTTAAAAGAAAATATTCTTATATATGACATATAATGTGCATTTATTATGTGTATATGATAACTTACATATATAAACATACATAAATAACTAAATATACATGTCATTAATACATATATAATTATACATATATTATGAATACATGACATATTACACACATCTATGGATTATATATATATATATA